TCTGCAATCATGCATTGGCCCTCATGTTCAAGTTACGTAAGTTTTCCTTACTTAACGATGCCTCCACAAAAGATCTGTTGGAAGAAGAAGATTCACATGCACATCTCAATTGCAGCAATGGTGTAAGAAAGGTGGGAGTTTAAATATTGCCCCTCAGCCAATGATGGAGGTTGAAGTGACCAAAACAAAAGAAGATGATTTGAAGTCAGGATCTGTTGTGAGGTGCCTCTTGTATGATGCAAGAGTGAGAACTACGCATGACAAGAATGCAGAAGTTCCCAATATGGGTCTCTCACACATGGCATGTGCCCAAACAGGGAGTGCAGACAAGAACCCAAGAACCCAAACCCTAAAAAAGAAACCTCTTAGAACGATTACAGATACACAATCAATTACTTGTTTCTTTAGTTATGATCTGTAGTTTTTTTGGCCAAAATAACAAGATGAGAGTGATAAGAAACCTGACCCTGAAATCAAAGTGCAATTGCAGGAGGCAGTGGAGTGACTATAGATGACATCCAGGGTTTTCTACAGTTCCCACTGAATTTGGGACCAGCAGAAATCATCTTCAAATAATATTTTCTCACGTTCTCTCAGAGAGAACCTCAATGAGGTGGAGTCCTTCTTAGTCTTTGCCACAAGTTCACCATGCCTACCTCAAATTGGGCTTGGTGTCATCAACATAAAGTTCAACAATACTTTACTTCACTCATGGCTATCCCGCAATCAATGGAAAAGGCTTTTCTAATCTTCTTTAATTTCCATAGGTTTTGCTGTCAGATGGATTCCAGCTTTTTGAGGTGTAATAGTTTGTCTTCATGCATTGTGTAATTCACTGTAAATCTGTAACCAAAACAAGTCATTTTACCTGACACTGCTGTTTAGGGTTTTAAATAAGTTCTAATGATTTCATTGCTCATTTACTTGTTAAGTTTCTGAAAATGTCACCAATCTTGATCATGACTTCAATGAAGAAGTAGCTAGTGTCACTCTAGACTGTTGGCTTCCCATGAAATTGACAGTGAGCATTGTAAGCACTGCTTCCTTGAGTTTTATTTTCTTTCTAGAAAAGATTAATGAACAAATCAAGAGACCACATTTTCAAACTAATTAACAATGAGTTTGAGCCCTTCCTAGTCTTTGCCACTAGTTCAACATGCGTACCCCAGTTTTGGCTCAGTGTCATCAAGATAAAGTCCAACAATACAGACCCTATCCTTCTCATCCACAAGTTTACTTTGTATAACATTACAAAGGTCCATCCCAGACCAAGGTAAACGTTGCTCCTCACCCAAGGCTGTAGGTACCATAGGTATTGCTGTAGGGGGATTCCAGCTTTTGCAGATAATAATGCAATTTGCTTAATTGTAATGTTTTCATTCTTATTTTTTAAATTTTAATTTGTAATTAATGTAATATGCACTGTAATGTATTATAAAATGTATGTACATCTTTTAATTTTTTTTTGAGGGCTCATTTTTCATTTTATATTTCTACATGTACTTTGTTACACTTATAGTATTTTAACAAGCTCCCATTTAATTTAAGCTTGCTGCTAAACTTTTAACACTTTACATTGCTAAACATATTTTGGTATTTAAATAGTTCTCTGCAGGCTTCCAATCAATCCAGCTTGTTCAACCTGGATAAATGCTACTAATAAATTAGTATCTAAAATAAATTCACATTTAAGCGGTAAAGGTCATCAACTAAAAACTGCATTAATAGAATCAAATTTGTCAAAATGTTAAACTTTCCTTGCACGTGTTTTTTGTCATCATGAAATAAACTGTATATGTTTATCAATCCATTTAATAATAGAGACCTCAAGGAGGTCAGTTGGAACCACACTATGAAGAGGTTTCATGGCTCTCTATGCTGGCCTTCAAACTGTAACTGCGATGTTTTCACAACACAGCACTGAAGCAAAGCAGAACTCTCCCATGAGTGCCTGTATGTGTTCAACCAACAACAAAAATGAAGAGCAAGTATTGTTTATTTGCTGGCTGTGAATCAGGAAAGGAGAAGTTTGGAATAATTGACCAACTTTATGAACAACCCTTTGCTTCAAAGGAATTCTCATGGACAGTTCTTAGTGAATTTAAGGAAGTGCAATTTAACTTCATGTTTGGGTCTATGATGGGCAGACAATTTGAAAGAAAATGAACTTTCATGCTTCTTTCTAATGTTTAATGTTTCACCACCTTCAACAGTTGCAACTAAGGACTATGCCATGTGGTTCCCAACACATGAACATTACAGTGGTACAGGTAAAAGTATGTCTGTTTACCAGAAATATGGCTGATCAGGCCAGTGTTTGATACCATTTTCCCCTGCGTGAGTTGACTAAGAGTATTCTGGGATGAGAAGCCCCAATATTCATATTGATTTACACATCTACGTAACTGCTGTGTCTACATATTGCAGAATGTTCATCTAACTTCCCTGATGTCAATTACCAGACACACTGTTTCCAACAAAACTACCTTAAAAAAGTAACCTAAAATAAAATATTACCAACTATGCATTTTTATATCATTTGAATATTCTTTATGCATGTATTTTTCTTTTGTTGGGTAAAAGCCATCACCAATCAGATCCTATAGCAGCCTAGCTACTTTTCAGAAATATCTCTGAGCATATTTTTTTAGGAAAGGATTCAGTATTAGTTTATAATACTTGATGTAATGCAAAGCACTTTTGAATACCAGTATGTGCATATTTTTAAAATATTTTTCATCTCATGAAATTCCTGAGCTTTGGCATACCCTGGTAAGGATTTCATCAAGTACTCATTGCCAATGAATTTAGCTATCCCAAAACATATATTTTCATGACCCACAAAACAATGTTTGATCGCAATTCATGTGGTATGAAATAGTGGCGAGTTTCAACAAAAATTAATAAATAAAATAAAAATGGGTTAGGATCCACGCTATATGTGATATTGTATAACCTGAGTATATTGTCAAACAATGAACACACACTTCTCTAGGAATCAATTTTCGCGCAAAAAAACAGGAACACGTAAAAGCCTGAAACATTCGGGTTAGTTAGGTAACTTAGCAATGCTTTACGGATGCACTCTTCTTTGATTGGCTAAAAGAAAGCCTGGGCCGAATCACACAGTAGACCGCGATCAGTAAACAACATGGAAACGTTCACTTTCGTATCAGCTGTGCGTGGATATCATGTTTATAAAGACGTATGGAAACCATCGATCGGGGAAAAGCTTGTTGCTAGACGAGAGTTTAACAACCCAATGGACAAACATGCTGTGAAAGTAGTGAAGGACGACGAAACGGTCGGCCATTTGCCTCGCGAATTCTCTCGAATAGCGTGGTATTTTCTTGCACGTAGTGGGGAAATCAGCGTTGAAGTGATTGGTCGCAGACGACACTGTAAGCAGCTGTGCGGAGGAATAGAGATTCCGTGCCAGTTAGAGTTTAAATATATGTTAGATACAATGGTAAATGTTAGAACACATGAACTTTGAGATTACAAGTGCTAACAGTTTTATGCGATCACAGCATAATCAAATGACAGATAAAAATGTAAACAAACATATATCCACTAAGCATTCCCTGGTAATTTGATTCCTTTTATCCTGTTGACAACGCTTCTTATTAATTTAAATAGAAAATCACAACGTGAATAAATTGCAATAATTTGATTGAACGAAGTGAGAATATTGAAAACCACAGTAACATGCGATGTTGTAGGTAGCAGCCATGGAAGAGACTATGGACGCCGTTGTTACTGTGGAGGAATTAAATTGTAAAGTTTGCCAGACTGATATTACTAGTGAGTACTTTACTGAACTCATTCAAAACGAGGAAACACTGAAA